TCCAAAACCAATTAAAATGGTACAATAAAATTCCCACAAAAATATATCACAATACCTCAACGTGTGTATGAGATCCCTGCAAAAGGATTGACATTTAAATTGTGTTTTGATAGGTCAAAGAAATTCAACAAAATGATAGCACCAGCATTGGCCTTTTTATGACGACCCAAATGTAAAAAATCCAAAGAAAACGTCAAAAAATGGTAAAATTATAATTCCAGTTTTATTAAATCCTAGACATCTTAAAGATTCAGCACAAAAAAATGGGGATCAAAAAGACTAATTTTCCTATTTTTTATGATTATTTGAAGTCAGCATATAAAACAGAAAAATAAAAGAAACATTGCAATATGAGGATAAAAGAAAATAACATGAATAAATAAAAGTGGCATGAGGCTTATGTGGCCGATTACGTGGCGCAGTGAGAGGCGTTGGATGAATGGAAGAAACCTTGACTTGGAAATGCATTCGACGGTGTTAACACCTTCTTCTCCAAATCAAATTTTTCAACTTTGTGAATAGTAACTCGCAGCCCCATGAACATGAGTTTTTTGCTACTTTGAAGCACCATAACTCCATCAATAATTATCCGTTTCGCACCAAATTTTGGTCAAACTTGAAGGAAAAAAATCAAGGAATCCAAATATGGTCTTAGATTTTCTTGAAACTCTCTCTAACTCCCAAAACGTGGCACCTCAAGAAAAACTCAAGAACCAAAAATTGTCATAAAACTCATCTTTTTTGTACTAGAATCCATGTAGGAGATGAGAGCAATGGAATGCAATAAAAATAATGCAAGAAAGACTCCTAAATAATGAGTTATGTCGAATTCTTTATACCTCCGAAAAATGGCTTATGGAGCTTCACTCGATCACCAATTCTTTGAGAAAATGATGTAGAATCACTCAACAATACTTGGTGAATATGTTTGAAGCCTTGACAAGTCTTGAATTGATGAAAAAGTGAAAATTGGAATTTGAGTTTTCACCACTTTTTCATGTTACTACAAGGTTCCTCTTGCTCCAATTCTCTCAAAAAAAATGATGAACCATCTCTATAATTGTTGTGTAATTGATTGGTAAAGAGAAAAAATATGGAAAGTGAGAGAAAAAAGATTGAAAAAAATTCCAAAATGTGAAAGTGTGGGAAAAATGAAAAAAATGGTGAAGAGAAAAAAAATTCAATATGATTTGCAAATGGATTCAACATCAACTATCACCAACCCTTACTCTTAATGATCTCAATCCAATATATAGATGATGATTAACAAACTTAGAGGTTTCTAGAATAATCTTGGAGGATTCTAGAAAGTTGTGGAAATTTCATGAACTTCTCATGCCATGATACTTTGAATATCTCTTATCTCATGCTTGCACCTTTCCAAACTTATGTCAAAATCTCCTTACATGAGATATGGGAAGTGTATGTAAGCTCCTTGCCTTGAAAATTCATCTTGTGCCAAGTTTTCTATACTTGCCTTATTATGCAAGTAACAAAAATACAAAGCAAGTCCAATTTTTAAACCCTAACTCAAAAAAGTGGCTGAACCAATGTCTTTAAAATGATGTTTGGAATCAATTTGGTATATTGGATGACCCATATTGGATTTGTAGATCTCCCAAACCAATTTTTCATTTCAACTTTTTCAACTTATAAGCCATTTTCAAGTCATTTGCACCAATTTTAAAATTCCATGCTCTAAGCTTTTCCTAACTTTCACACCTTCTTTTCTAGCCTTAAAATCCCATTTTGAACAACTTTGATATTGTGAAGTTTTTCATTTGAAGCTTTCTTGTATGAGTTTTAGGCATATACTAAGAATGACCTGTAATCCTCAAATGACCAAAATACCCTTTGCTTGCCAAGACCATAAGTAGAGTTCCATAAATCATATGAAGGCATACCATACCATTATAGAAAGCTAAGACAATAATTAACAATTCTCATGTTGGCCAGAAATCCATTTGAAGTACCCTTGAAAGTCAAAAGTTGCTTGGAATACAGACAATTTTCACAGACAAATTTCAGTGCCCTCAGATAGCCTGTAACTTGCAAGAGCCATAACTTGAGTTCTACAAATCATCTTGATGACTTCCACCACTCAAATTAAAGCTATGAAGATATTCTACAAGTTTCATGTGGACCAAGAATCCATATGAAGCATGCATCTTGAGTTACACTGCTTTGAAGTTTGACCTAAATCAGGGGATTTTACAATAAAACCCTAATTTAGTAACTCCAGTTCTCCTTGAATCCTCTCAATTTTTCTTTATCATAACATCATATCCATATCCACCTAGCAAATAATGAATCCCCCATTCTTCAAATGATCCTTGATGCCCTTCAAAACACTTCTTTGACCTAGAATTGACCCAGTGTTGACCCTAGTTGACTGACTTCAACTGAGGCTCCTGCAATCATTCACATGACTTGGTTCTCCTCAAAAATGATTCTCTAGACTCTTCATAACATCCATACACACCTCATGCTCTTGGCTCATAGCTCACATTTCCTCTGATGATCCCCCACTAGCCTCACGATAGGAGAGAATTCACTGATCAACCTGGCAGCTCTTCAAAGCTCAAATTCTTCCCCGATGACCTGAGTAGTCTTGAATATGAATGAAACCCTTGGATATACCTCTTGAAATAAGAACAGCACTTGATCCCCTGATTAAGATAGCTTGCCTATGCAGATGAATACACTATGTACATGATGACAATGCAAATGACTATGCAATTGAAACATAAACCTAGGTTAGAAAAGGTTGGGCAAATTTTGGGGTGCAACACCCCAAAGCCCAACTGGTAACCTCAAGGCTACTGAACAAGCACACGTACTGGACGTCGATATAAACACCAAACTTATCCGCAAAGAGTGTTCATACTACTAGATGTAGCATGTACACCTTAGCGGCATCCTTATAACTCCCAACCGTTACAAGGTCATCGTACGTCTTCCGAAGTCAAGACATACGAAGGTGAAAGCCCCTGTTGATGTCAAACTCCTTATGCATGGCCGCCTCAGAAACTCGCAAATCTCGTGCAACAGTCATACATGCAAGCGACGTGCTAAGAACAAGAGTCGTCCAAAAAATTTCGCCGATGGGGAGATGGAACAATGAGGAGACATCATCCAGAGTGATAGTCATCTCCCTAAAAGAAAGATGAAATAAAGATGTCTCCTTATGCCATCTCTCAACAAATGCTGTAAGTAATAGAGCGTCGAGCATGGTGAGGGAGCACTGGGAAAAATCAAAAAGCTCAAAATCACGTACAATTCGACTGACCTGCATAGGCATCATTCGGGAAGTCCTTTAGCTTCGACCCTTATGATGTCACCTTTTGTGTGGGACGCTCCTATGACAAACAAATATAAAAAAAAAATTAACAGTTAACTTTCATGGAACAATAATAAACAAATTAAACTTAAACATAACAGACATATACCTCTCCTTACCATAGTTGTAACACCACATGATTAGCATACTCAATAAGTACCGACTGGTCAATTTGTCCTCCAAGAAATCCTCCATTAGTGTGCACAGAGGGTTCGGTGGAAGAAGTTGTAACCTCTATGTCAAGAGTAACATATGGGAGCGGATCAGCAACATCAGCATCTGGCAAGACCACCTGAGCAACAACCTCATCAACAACCACCTCCTCAGCAACCTCCTCCTCGGCAACCTCTTCAACCACCAGATCTGCAACTTCCTACCAATGCGTCAACAACTATCGAATCAAGAACAACAACATCTGACTGCACCACCTCATCTCTCACATCATCTCTAGGTTGATCTATTGATTGTACCGATCGATGTCGAATGCTACGAGCAGAACTGACCCTACTCAACCAACCGCTTCTAATGTGAACCGGTTGGGACCACTCGTCCAACCCGCATATGAGAGGACTCAGCCTCAACACTCCTAGCATTCATAGTCTGGTTTGTTGCTCTATCAATAGCTCTCCCTACAATAGAGTCATCTATGTCTATGTATTTCATTATAAAAGAATGGAAAATTAAATAAAAAATAACAACTACCAGAATTTATCGAAAATTTCAAAATTTGCGGTACAAAACAAAGTTTTTATCAATATCAAAAATTTTGATAAAAAACCAAGTTTTTAAAACTACCAAAAATTTTGAAATTTTCGATAAATTTCAAAGTTTTTATCAATATCAAAATTTTCAAAATTTCCAGTAAAAATCATATTTTTATAATCACCAAAAATTCTAAAATTCCCAATAAATTCCAAGGATTTTATACTAGAAATTTTTAAATTTTCAATAAAAATGTTTGAATAAACACAAAGTTTCGAAATTTCTAATACAAAGTAATGGAAATTGTGCAATTTTTGATAAAAAAACATAATGATTTGAAATTTCCTTGCAGTCTTCTCCAAATTATCGCTCCCAAATTCGCACTTATATAATGTAAATTTAAAAAATGAATAAAATGATTTTGCAAGGGTAGTGTCGTCTTTTTGTACGCAATGGGAGTCGGATAATCAAAATATTTTAAAGCGTGATAAAAATGCAGAAACAACGCTTGGAGTAGACCAAACACCCTTAATCAAAAACCATTTACTCCAAGCGTTAGTTTCTGCATTTTTATCACGCTGTAAAATATTTCAATTACCCGCCTCCTTCCTCTGAGAATTCCGCATATACTTTATACGCATTTCATTTCAAATTTAATATTAACCAAAACCAACTTTATACGCATGTATTTAAATCATTATCATAAGCAAGCAAAACTTTTTAGATAATTTCGGTTAAACAATCAAATAACTTGACTTTGGAACAGTCAAACTTGATCTCATTTTTATACACAGTTTAAAATAAACGTTTCTATCTTGGAATATCTTGCTTGACATAAGGTCCTAATCCCTTGTTGAAATGGTGGCAATCTTGTATCATATTATAAGTCTTCACCTTTGGACCGTGTAACATTATGTCATGAAAAGCTCCTTGTCTTTAAGGAGAAAACAAATTGAAACTAATCAGATTCAGAGTCAAAAAGTGGCATCTGGAAAGCATTGGGCGGTTCCGAATCTGTCATGCTTGGGGGCACATTTTTACCAGACCGTCTCCGGACCCGGTCAGTTGGTCTCGATTTTCTTTCATCACGGGAGGGCGGCTCCTATCATAGCAAAAATGTAAAATTATTTCCACAATAAGAAAATATGCAAGACAACCACACTGAAAAAAAAGGCTTACCGTGGAACTAGGTTGTTTTGACTGAGATGGAGGAGTTTGTTGGCTTCTTCTCAGCCAGATGGTGCCCAGAGAAATTAAGGCAGCCAAAAGCAGGAAAGGACCGATTCTCGGATCATCAAGGTACACAGAAAGTCCACCAACAACACCAAGAATACGCTGCATATGGTTTTTTAGTGGAATCTGTTGTGCAGTTTTAAACCAAATAGTTTCTGTGTCATCTGGAACAAGCTTAGGAGTTCTTAGTGTCTGCAAAGAGAACAAGGTATTGCATAGTAAGAAAATCATACAGTAGTTATTTAATAGAAAACTATTTCTTAATTTAAAGCGTCAAACTGTGCATTATAGAGGTAAAAATAATAACAATCGAAATTAGGAGAGCTATATTAGAAAAGTATTAGTAAACAAAATCACACTCAAACACTGACTCTAAGGAGGTACAGAAGCAACAACCGAAACTATTAATTTGACACTGCATTTGGACCTAGCTTAAGGCTTTGTGGGTTTTGTATAACAGAAGTAAAAGAGAAAGAATAAATATTGTAGTTATAATGTTATGTTACTAAGCTTTCACGTGGCTTCATTGCAAGAAAGAGTTCCATATAACTTAATGAAGTTCAAAGATAAAGTTGCACTTGTAACAACGAGGGGTCTAAAACTGCCAACATGGAAGATGGAGTTCTCATCACAGATTTAGCAGCTTAAGAAGTCAGAGGAGATGTGGCTAATGAAATTTTTAGAAAACCCTTATATGCTCTTGTAACTGGATCCTAACATTAACTTTGAGGAAAAGGTTGATTGTAAAGGGGAAGGTATTGTAATGAAGCTGCCATATGGGTGTAAATCAGCATAGCATGGCAATCACGTTGAGATAAATTCAGTTTGAGAAGCTCCGAGAATCTAGGGGCAAAGATAACTAACATTCGGTTGAAGGATTTGTAATGATTGATGATGAATCCTTTTATCCGAATTCTTTCTTCTTTCCCTCTGTTGAGCTAGCTCATTCAACCCTACATTCTTTTTTTTCAATGCATTTGTATTTGATCACTAATCCTCCTATCACATACACTTGGAATTGAATTAGTTAATATATCTTCTACCAATTGTGATTTGTGTGTCATTAAAGAATAATCAGGAACAAATTGCAATAAAAACTAAGAAATATGGAAACTAATTATAACAGATAAGCTAAGATTCAATAAGATATTATATGATATTTTCGTATGTTCTGACATGACTTAGCACCAAAACTTCCTTACAAAGTTTAAAAGACTTACAAAGAATGGCAAATCTCTGGAGTCACCATCTTTTATAATACTTGCAAGCCACTGGGATATCTGCTTAAAAAAGAAATTTTGAAAATATTTTGAGAATTGTGCATTACATCTTTGTGATTGTACAAAAGTAATTGTTACAGCACATGGGTTATATCATAGGAAATATGATGAAAAATAGATGTATTTGAGTTACAAAAATTGTAAAACTATTCTACAGTAAAACGGCAAACCTCTGAATCATCAGCTGTGCCCTTGTACCCAGCTACAAACTGGCCTGCCTGATCAGTATCATCGATTATATCTTGGACCAATAATGATTTCCACTTAGACATTTCCTGTGTCCTCGTATCAACAGCACTATTATTCCTTAGGTAACGAATAACAAGCAACCGAGCAATATCAGTCATGCCCTTCCGTTGTCCACAAGTGCCTTCGCTTGCCCCCTCACCAAGGTAAAATTTACAATAGTCCTGAATGATAAGATCTGTTAATAGCCAAGACCATAAATGTATATTTTTTTCAACAATACCAGAAGAACTTACGTAGGCACTCATTCAAAGAATGAAATTAGCTTATATAGGAATTAGGTCTTCCAAATGCAGTTACCACCACAAGTACAACCACATTTTTCCATTTACATTTAAAAAAAACAAACATTTAAATGCAATAGACTCAAATAAAAATTGAAAGCCAAAGAAAACAGGTATCCAAGAGTTTAACTCAATGCTCTCTAAATGCATTTTATACTTTTCAAAATAAAAATATTAAAATATCTGGAGCGAAGAACCCAAAATGGATTTTTTAAGAAGTGTTAAATTCTTAAAATTAGATCATTTAATCTACAAGTTAGAAATTTAAAAGAGATTTCTACACCCAACACGCTCTTCATATATCAACTACAGTTGTCAACATAATTTGCTTTAGCAAATGCATCTATTTTATTAATTAAAAAGAATGCATTCAATTTCATAGTAACTTTTCCTTGCAAATTCATCTATTTATTAATCAAAAAGAATGCATTCAATTTTGTAGTAACTTTTCCTTGATTATCATGAGTCATTATCAAATACAATTGGTATTGGCATCATCGTTGAATGCCAAATATGCCTTAAATTGGACCATCTTTGTTGCATTTTTCAACTTTTTAATTGTGTTTTAATTGAATTATTCCATGAAATGTATGAATCTTCAATATAATTGCTCATACCTTTGAATTCTTTGATTTGTGTGTTATTGTGTAGGAGTTAGGCTTAATCATTGGAAGAGAAGTCAAAGAAAAGAAGAAGTTCATTTTTGTGAAATTTTGAAATTGCAAGCTCGCTTAGCCCGGTTTCCAACGTGATCCCGCTTATCCCGGTTTCCAGCGCCCTTTTGAAGAGATGGTAGTAGCTAAATGAACCAAACCGCGCTTAGTCCGGTAATACCGCGCTTCCTGAGATTTTGCCTTGTTGGTTACTGACTGCGCTAAGCGCGCTCAGCCTGAGCTTAGCACGGTGTCACCTGGAGGCACTTCTTGACACTTGCATATAAAGCAACTTTGTAGATATTTTGTGAGCAACTTTCACTTTTCATATTTAAGAGAAAATATTTTAGGTCTAGAAGCTTAGAAATTCCAAAAAGGGGTAAAAATCAAAGCTTTGGAGCATCGATCTTCAATCTTTCGACTTTGATGCTAAAGAACTTTCTTTCTTACTTGTGAAGCAAGCTACCATGGTGATGGGTAGATAAAGTCTTTTGTATCAAGGGTAGATGTAGTCTTTCTTGATCTTGTATGTATTTTCTTTAATCTTTTGTATGTGAACAAGTTGATGATTAATATATGGTGAATATCTTTATTCTTTATGATATATCTTTAATTTGAATCACTCTAGACATAAATTTTCCAAAACTTGACCTAAGATACTCATCTATTAATGAATAAACTCTAGACATAGATTTATGAGTTGATATTTGCTTTGTATCAATCTTTATGTTTATTGTATTGATTGTTAGCATGAGACATCATCTAGTGATTGATATGATAATATTCACGAAACCACTTTAGACATAAACAGTATTGAGAGGATACGCGATTATATTGATCGGAAACAAATTCACATGCTTGATTAAGAGAATATATGCAAGTTAGGTTAATGAAATCTATTCGAGATATGCTTTGTTAAACAAATATCTTTCAAATTTTACTCTTTGCTACTAAAACTTGTGAACACTTATGATATCAAACAAAACACTTTTGAAAACCTTACTTAAAACTCTTTGAACTATAGAACGTCAAGTGATATATCACTACAATCCCTGTGGAGACGATAAATTATTACTCACCTATTATACTTTCAACAATCATTAAAAGCATATTCATAATACATATCTATTAAATACATTCACTAATGCTTAGTATCAGCTTTGTATCACACGGTATGACAAAAAGAAGAAAAAATAATAATAAATTAGACCAATGAAAGAAAATAATAACCTTTTGCTTTTCACTGTCAAGCCACGCAAATGTCAACCGTTTTTTCTTCAATGCATCCACGACTGGAGCCAAGGATTGATTTTCAGATAATGCATCTACCCCACTTTGCTTAGACAATGTTTCTTGGACCCTGCAAATAATCTATGGGCCTACATTACAACATTTGACAAATTTGACAAATACATGCTCGCTTAAAAAGATATCTATCTTTACTAAGTACCAACAAACAATGACAGATATCTTTTCCTACTAGGTGGGGTAATCTACATCAATCATATGACACTATAAGGTGCTTTTATAAATCATTTCCAATGACAACAACAACCAAACCTAATATCACAATTTGAGATTGGCTACATGGAACATGGAACAAACAACGCCAAAATGTTCTATAATAACTCATAATTATAGCCAAAATATCAGTCTCAGATCTTTCATAATATATTTTCCTGGAGTTTTTCATGTTTTTCTCTGCCTCTAGCAACTGGTTCATCTGCTATCAAATCTACCCTTGTTACTTCATCGAAAATGGAAGGCATGTGTTTCTAAGGATGGCCTTTAAGTGCTTCTAATGGAACCCCATTAAAGTTTTTTAATAGTTTGGCATATAGTTTCCTTGGTTTCCCTCTGTCTTTGACTATTGAAATTGTAGAAATATGATGTATATTTTATTGTGTTTGGAATTCTTAAATGTGAGGTATAAATAGAATCCAATAGGCTGAAAGTTATACCCTAATTTGCTAATAACCAGAGAAAATAATTTCCTATAATTGCTGCTACCTAAATAAGGAAATAGTAATAATAGATAATAACTCTATTTACACCACTGTTTTGTAACAGCTTGACAAATCAGAATCAAATGATTATGATTTAATGTGTGCTAATCTTCAACACCCCCTCAATTTCGGTGGTAGATGTCTATCATACCCAGATTGAATTTTATATTTTCATAAGTATTTCTTGGAAGAGCCTTGGTTAAGATATCTGCAGTTTGCTTGCATGATAGGACATGATCAATACTAATAATCTTATGATCAATTTTTTGTTTAATGAAGTGTCGGTCAATTACCACATGTTTTGTTCTATCATGTTGGATTAGATTTTTTGCAATACTTATAGCAGCTTTGTTATCACATAGTAACTTCACAGTAGGGTTCACATGAATTTTGATTTCATCTAGCATGCGCTTAAGCCACATTCCTTCACAAATACCTAGGGCCATAACTCTAAATTATACTTCTGCACTACTCCTTGCCACTACAGATTGTTTCTTGCTTCTCCAAGTTACTAAGTTCCCCCACACAAATGAACAATAGCCTGTAGTCGATTTTCTGTCTGTGAGCACCCTGCCCAATCTGAATCTGTATAAACTTCAATGCCCCTGTTTGAATTTTTCTTGAAGTAGAGACCTCGGCTTGATGTGCCTTTGAGGTATTGGAGGATTCTATTCGCCATTTTCATGTTAGACTCAGTTGGAGTTAACATGTAGCGACTAGCCATGCTTACCGCGAACCCAATGTCGGGCCTAGTGCGAGATAGGTAGATAAGTTTTCCAACTAGACTTTGATATCTATCTTTGTCGGCTGGTGGACTTTCATCTTCTCTTCCTTTTCTTTGTTCTATTGGTGTATTAGCTGCCTTGCAACCAAGCATTCCAGTTTCTTGACAGAGTGTATTTCCTTTGTGATACGTAGATGCCATTCTTTGTTCGAGCAACTTTCATTCCTAAAAAATACTTAAGTTGTCCCAAGCCCTTAACTTCAAATTCCTTTGCCAAGAGTCCCTTTAAATGATCAATTTGATCATAATCATTTCCTGTAATGAAGATGTCATCAACATAAACAATGAACAAAGCTACCTTTCCTTCCATGGATTGTTTAACAAACATAGTGTGATCTGATTGGCATTGGTTGAACCCGTCTTTCTTGACAACTCGAGTCAATCTATCAAACCACGCCCTTGGAGACTGCTTGAGGCCATAAAGAGATTTTCAGAGCCTGCACACCATATTTGCGGTGCTGGATGATTCAAGCCCGGGAGGAATGTGCATATAAACTTCCTCTTCTAGGTCACCATTTAAGAAGGCATTCTTGATGTCTAGTTGATGGAGTGACCAATTCAAATTTGCAGCCAGAGAGATAATAACTCTAACTGAGTTTAGTTAGGCCGCCGATGCAAAATTCTCTTCATAGTCTACTCCATATGATTGAGTGAGTCCCTTTGCTATAAGTCGAGCCTTGTACCGATTTATACTCCCATCTACATTATACTTCATGGAGAATATCCATTTGCATCCTACCAGCTTCTTCCTTGCAGGTAGGTTTGTGATCTCCTAAGTGTCATTCTTTATTAGGGCCTGAACCTCTTCAATTACGGCTACTGCCCATTCAGAATTTTGGAGTGCCTCATGGATGTTCCTTGGAATGTGTGTATTGTCAAGAGTTGTTACAAAAGTCTTGTAACTCTGGGACAATTTTCCATAAGATACAAATCTTTCAATGGGATTTTTAGTACACGATCTTACATTTTTTCTCAAGGTAATAGTAATATCAATATCATCAACATTCGCAGAGTTAGGAGCAGTATTATCTGAGAGAACACCATTTTCTAGACTCTTGGAGGTTTCTTGGTTCTGCCTTGGAATTGTGCAGGACTTTATTCCCTTCTTGCTCTTCATGGAGTACACTTTCATGTTGTTTCTTGGTGCAGTTTCTGTTGTAGGGGCTGCAGTTTCTACTGCAATATCCTCTGCATTTTCTACTGCAATATCTTCTGCATTTTCTGATGTAATCTCTTCTGGTCCATGAGTAAGTTCTGCATTTTCTTTTACATTTTCATTTGGTTCAGGTGTAGGTTTTGATGCCTCTACAGTGAGTTTGGGTTTAGTTAGCTCAAGTTCCAAAAGTTGGGATTCTATCACTTCAATTGGATATGTGTTCTCCCCCTTAATTCCAACTTTTGGGTAATATGACTGATTTTCAAAAAAGGTTACATCCATGGTGTGGTAGAATTTTTTTGTTTTGAGGTGAATAACATTTGTATCCTTTTGGTGAGGAGAGTAGCCGAGGAATATGCATTTAATGGATTTTGGGTCAAATTTACTGCATTGGGGATCAAGATTATGGACAAAGATTGTACATCCAAAAATTTTCAAAAGAATAGATGTAAGGATAGGATTGGTTGGGTATAAGGTTTGGAGAGTGGAGTAGGGCGTATGAAAGTTAAGGATCTAGGAAGGCATTCTATTTATAAGATAGATTGCAGAGAGGACAGTTTCTCCCCAAAACTGATTAGTTACATTTGTAGCTAGCATGAGAGATCGGGTTACTTCTACGAGGTGTCTATTCTTTCTCTCGGCAACCCCGTTATGCTGAGGTGTATCAACGCATGAGGTTTGGTGTATTATTCCATGTTGCTGAAAGTATGAGCTTAGTGCAGAATTGTGGAATAATCAATACAGAATCAAATGATTCTGTTTGTACAGCTCATTAGGATTAGGACTAATGTAATTAATTAGTTATTATTTCCTGTTTTTACTGTAATTAGAATTAGCATTTATGGGAAAATTAATTCCCCTGATTTCTAGGACAGATTTCCTTTTCAAACTCTGCCTTATGTATTCTATAAATACTGCTATGTAATTCTCATAAAATACAAGGAAATATAAAGTATATTTCTACATGGTATCAGAGCACGATCTGAACCATCCCTAACCTAGCGCCGCCAAACTATGGAGGATCCTAAATCTGATGAATCGCTCAAAGTGGAGACTGGATCATTTCCGACCAGTTCACACGAAGGGATCACTCACCTCATCACAGGCCATAAATTAAATGGTCAAAACTATACCCAATGGGTAAGGTCAGTCAAGATCTTCCTCGAAGGAAAAGGAAGGGAAGGCTACACCACGGGAGATTCTAAATGTCCTGCGGAAGGAGACAAAAATTTTCAGAAATGGAAACTTGAGAACAGCCAAGTAATGTCATGGCTGCTCAATACCATGAAAAATGAAATTGGTGAAAATTTCATGTTCTATGACACCGCAAAAGAGATATGGGATGCAGTGAAGGAAACGTACTCAAATGTTGACAATACATCTGTCGTATTTGAGATAAAAAGCATTTTTCATGACCTTCGACAAGGAGAATCTTCTGTTACCGAGTATTTTAACATACTTAACAAACACTGGCAGCAACTGGACATATATGAAGAGGTTACATGGTGTTGTACAGAAGATAAAAAGAAATATAAGGAATTGGTGGAAAAAGATAGGATTTACAAATTCCTATTGGGACTAAACAAGGACCTAGATGAAATTCGTGGAAGGATCCTTGGAACCAAACCACTTCTCAAAATTCGAGAAGCCTTTTCAGAAGTGAGAAGGGAAGAAAGCAGAAGGAAAATCATGTTGGGGACACCCAACTCAGTTCCGTACAGCGAGAGCTCTGCAATGGCAGCAAGGGGGAATCAGCCTCGACCATCACAAAAGAAAAACCGCCCCTGGTGTGATCACTGCAAGAGACCAGGCCACACAAAGGAAACATGTTGGACCATACATGGAAAACCTTCGGAGGCAAAATCGTTCAAAGGCAAGGAGGGTAGAGGTAACACAGCATTTAACAACCAAGAAGCTGAGGTATACTCTAACTCATCTCCTTTTAGCAAAGAACAAATGGAGGCTCTTCAAAAACTCCTTCAGCAAACTATGTTAACCGTAGAAAAAGGTGGTACTGCTGTAGTGGCTCAAAGAGGTAATTATTTACATGCTCTAAACACTAGTAAAGAAAAAACAAAATCATGGATTGTTGACTCAGGGGCCTCAGATCACATGACTGGAGATTTCACCCTGTTTAATAGTTATTCTCCATGTCCCTATAACTATAATGTTCGAATAGCCAATGGTACACATTCTAAGGTCATGGGTAAAGGATCAATTATAATTTCACCAAATATTACTCTTGACTCTGTTTTGTATGTGCCTACACTTGATTGTAACTTGCTGTCCATTAGCAAGATTACAAGACATTTGAAATGTGTTACTAAATTTTTCCCTAACTTGTGTGAATTTCAGATTTTGGAGTCGGGGAAGACGATTGGCAATGCTGAAGAGTGTGCTGGACTCTACTTCCTCCAAGTGGAAAAATCAGAGAAAAAACTCAATAATAACTATCATGTTGCAGCTGCAGTTTCAAATGGTAATAATTCTGTAATGATGTGGCACTATAGATTAGGCCACCCAAATTTCATGTACTTGGAAAAGATTTTTCCCTCGTTATTCAATAAAAACAAGGAACATTTTCAATGTGAAATCTGCCAATTGTCTAAACATACCCGAAACCATTACCCACCCCAATCCTATAAACCATCCAAACCTTTTTCATTAATTCATAGTGATGTATGGGGACCATCACGAGTCCACAACATTACTGGCTCGAGATGGTTTGTCACCTTTATTGATGATCACACACGTGTTACATGGGTGTTTCTAATTAAGGAAAAATCAGAAGTAGGGAGAATATTTGAAATTTATCATAAGATGGTACAAACACAATTTCAAAGCAATATTCAGATACTTAGAACTGACAATGGTCGTGAGTATTACAACCTTGCTCTAAATTCCTACCTTCAAAAGGTTGGAATTGTTCACCAAAGTTCGTGTGTGGACACTCCCCAACAAAATGGAGTAGCAGAAAGGAAGAATAGACACCTTTTGGAAGTGACTAGATCAATCATGTTGGCCACAAATGTCCCACAACACTTTTGGGGAGAAGCTGTCCTTTCAGCAACTCACCTTATAAATCGACAGGTATGCTTGGATGCAAAGTTGTCAATACTCCCATAGAACAAATAAAAAGGAGTGAAGATGAGAATATACCAGCTAATAAAGATAGATACCAAAGTCTAGTTGGAAAACTAATCTATCTAACTCACACCAGACCAGACATTGGTTTTGCTGTAAGCATGGCTAGTCGCTATATGTCAAATCCAACTGAAACTAACATGAGAAATGTTAACAGAATTCTCCAGTACCTAAAAGGTACGCCAGGTCGAGGACTCTATTTTCAAAAGAACTCAAACAGAGGTATTGAAGTCTACACTGATTCAGATTGGGCAGGATGTTTATCTGACAGGAAATCGACTACAGGCTACTGCACATTTGTATGGGGTAATATGGTAACTTGGAGAAGCAAGAAACAGTCTGTTGTGGCAAGGAGTAGCGCAGAAGCAGAATTCAGAGCTATGTCACAAGGTATTTGTGAAGGAATTTGGCTTAAGCGAATGCTAGGTGAAATAAAAATTCCTACCAAACATCCTATGAAGATATTATGTGATAACAAGGCTGCTATAAGCATTGCGAAGAACCCAGTTCAGCATGATAGAACAAAGCATGTAGAGATAGACCGACACTTCATCAAAGAGAAAATTGATCATGGAATTATAAGTGTTAACCATATTCCATCATGCCAGCAAACTGCAGATATTCTAACAAAAGCCCTTCCAAGGAACATATATGAGAATATCAGATCCAATCTGGGTATGATAGACATCTACCACCCAGATTGAGGGGGAGTGTGGAATAATCAATACAGAATCAAATGATTCTGTTTGTACAGCTCATTAGAATTAGGACTAATGTAATTAATTAGTTATTATTTCCTGTTTTTACTGTAATTAGAATTAGCATTTATGGGAAAATTAATTCCCCTGATTTCTAGGACAGATTTCCTTTTCAAACTCTGCCTTATGTATTCTATAAATACTGCTATGTAATTCTCATAAAATACAAGGAAATATAAAGGCAGTATTTACGTCTGTCAATAGTACATCTGCAATTTTTGAAATCAAGAGCATACTCTATGATTTACGTCAAGATACTCCATGATTTATGTATCAACGCATGAGGTTTGGTGTATTATTCCATGTTGCTGAAAGTATGAGCTTAGTGCAGAATTATAGTACTCACGACCACTATCACTCTTAACTCACGACCACTATCACTCCTAAGCACTCTAATTTTGCTTTGAAATTTTGTTTGCACCATGGTATAGAGACATTCAAATATCCTACCAACTTCCGATTTGTCTTTCATAAGGTAGACCCAAGTGATCCGTGTGTGATTATCAATAAAGGTGACAAACCACCTTGATCTAGTTACATTTCTGACCCGCGATGGTCCCCATACATCACTATGAATAACACAAAAAGGTTGGGAAGGTTTATAGGGTTGAGGTGGGTGGGGGTGAAAAAGGTTGCGTGTATGTTTGGACAATTGACAAATTTCACATTGAAACAACTTCTGATTTTTATTGAATAATTTAGGAAACATTTCTTTCAAGTACATAAAATTTGGGTGGCCTAGTCTATAGTGCCACAACATTGAAGAATTTTCACTATATTCAGAAACTACAACGCAAGAGGTTGCCTCGGATTCTGGTTTAGATGTTTCAGCCTCAAGGATATAGAGTCCAGCACATTCTTTAGCATTGTCAATCGTCCTCCCCGACTCCAAAATCTAAAATTCACACAGGTTAGGGAAGAATTTAGTAATGCACTTCAAATCCTTTGTAAGTTTACTGATGGACAATAGGTTGCAATCAAGTTTAGGCACATAAAGTACTGAACTAAGAGTAATATTTTGTGAAATAATGACAGAACCTTTACCCATGACCTTAGACAGGGTACCATCAACAATTCGAACAGTCAAATTATTTTGGCATGGAGAATAGCTATCAAAGACAACCAAGTCTCCAGTCATGTGATCAGATGCTCCTGAGTCAATAATCCATGAATTTTGTTTTCCCTGGCTAGTGTTTAGAGCATGCAAAAAATTACCTTTTTGTGCCACAGTAGTTGTACCAATTGTTTGTTGAAGCATTTTTTGTAAGGCTTCCATTTGCTCTTTGCTGATTGGTGATGAGTGGGAATTTACCTCAGCTGTGTTCCCTCTGCTGTCCCGGTTTTTGGTCCATTTTAGCTCTGATGGCTTTCCATGAATGATCCAGCATGTGTCCTTGGTATGACCCGGTTTCTTGCAGTGGTCACACCAAGGCCAGGTTTTCTTTTGGAAAGAACACTGATCTCCCCTTGCTACCATTGCAGATCCCTCTATAGATGGGGATGCACTGGATTTTCCAAGCATCACTTTTCTCCTGCTTTCCTCTCTTCGTATTTCCGAGAAAGCTTCTCCCACGAACTTCATCAAGTTCCATGTTCAAACTTAATAGAAATTTGTAGGCTCTATCTTTCTCCACCAATTCTTTGTACTTCTTTTTATCCTCTGTGCAGCTCCATTCATCTTCGTCATATACATTCAATTGCTGCCAGTGACGATTGAGAGTATTAAAATGCTTTGTGACTGAGTGGTCATCTTGACGTAAATCATGGAGTATGCTCTTGATTTCAAAAATTGCAGATGTACTATTGACATTAGAGTAGGTTTCCTTTACGGCATCCCACATCTCTTTGGCAGTGTCATAGTACATGAAATTTTCTCCAATTTTATTTGTCATGGTGTTTAGCAGCTGTTAAGAAATGTGGTTGGGTCTAACTCAACCCTACAAAACCGGTTGGTAGAGTGAGGATTGCTCCCACTTATAAACACATGTTCATGCCATATATTGTCCGATGTGGGACTCTTAACACACCCCCTCACGCTCAGGACTGGACAACTGAAGCGTGGAAATAAATGGTGGGTGGCCCGATAGCGGAAACCATAGAAGGTGGCCCACCGGATCTTAAACGAGGCTCTTGATACCATGTTAAGAAATGTGGTTGGGCCTAACTCAACCCTACAAAACCGGTTGGTAGAGTGAGGATTGCTCCCACTTATAAACACATGTTCATGCCATATATTGTCCGATGTGGGACTCTTAACAGCAGCCATGACATTACTAGACTGTTTTCTAGTTGCCATTTTCTGAGGATGGAATCCTTCTTTTTTGGACACTTGGAGTCTCCTGTGATATAACCTTCCTTCCCTTTTCCTTGAAGGTAGATTTTGACTGAGCGCACCCATTGATTGTAATTCTAGCCATTCAATTTGTGACCAGTAATAGGAAGAGCATGTCCTTCGGCTAAACTGTTGGTTGAATTTTCTGCTTTAGTATATGCCATGGGTGGTGCTCAAGGTTTAGGAATGGTTCAGATCTTGTGCTCTGATACCATGTAGAAATATGTTGTATATTTCATTGTTTTTGGAACTCTTACATGTGAGGTATAAATAGAATACAATAGGCTGAAAGTTGTACCCTAATTTGCTAATAAATAGAGAAAATAATTTCCTATAATTGCCGCTACCTAAATAAGGAAATAGTAATAATAGATAATAATTCTATTTACACCACTGTTTTTTAACAACTTGACAAATCAGAATCAAATGATTATGATTTAATGTGTGTTAATCTTCAACAGAAACATTGCTCATCTGATTTACGGTTCTTACTAGAAGACCTACAATTTTTCTCAACACATGTCTAAACCACCTAATGCAAGACTACCATTTTTATCACAATAGGTGTTACCTAAACTTTCTCTCTAATATTTTTATTACTAACTTGTCCTTGCATGGTTATCTCCACAAGTATACGGACTGAAAATGATTAATGAAACCTGTGTATAAAATTATTATAGACATCTGCTTAAGATTATGCATCTATTAAGAAAACTAATCACTGGTGACAAAAAGGATGCGAAAGATGTAGTAGTTTTGAAACCCTTTGATACATTTTGACCAACTAAAACTCTGAAACCAGAGCCCCAGACCAACTTTATTAGAAACTGGATAAAACTCAAATGCCCCAGGTCACTTAACAATGATGCCAGTAGTTTGATATTTTATGAGGAAGCTAAGTAAGGACAAATCATAATGCAAATAATGAATTAGCACATACTTTGTGGAAAATATATCATCCGAGTTAGGTTTAAAACAATACAAAGTACATACTTCACGCAGTCTGTTCAACTCCATACTCGGCCTTCCCAATGCAATAGCACAATACCAAATAGTTGTATCATATCCAGCACGTGAATAGCCATGAGGATCACAGCCTAGCTCCATAGATGTCTCGCTCCTCAATTGTGGTAGTTCTGTACAGAAAAAGGGGGAAACATGAAAATTGGGCAGATTAATCAGGGCTCAGAAAATAACTTCCGCTCATTAGCCCATAATCACAGAATAGTGGCCTAACTTATGCACAAAACGTCATAATGACAATAACTTGAGGAGATTATACCATGCAATATTAGGAGTGATAAGGTGGCTTAGTGGTTTGGAGAATGGGACATGGGGGTTGGATTGATAAGGACGTCAATGGCACAACTACCATGAAATGCTAGTTTACAAACTCAAAAGGACAACAATATAAGAATGTGGATCTATTATTGGTCAAATGAGTTCATTAATACAGATAATGAGGGGACTTGCATATTAATATACAGTGGATAAAAGTATTGAGTCTGCAGTTAGTTAAACAAGAATTTGATAATGAAATCAAAGACAGATATACTATGTCAACAGACTATGCACTCACGGGCTAATAAGATAATACTGTGATCCAGGATGCATTGAGATAAAATCGAAGTTTTAGTCAAAAGTCACTTCCTACATAATTACAGTCCACTACTACACTCAGCTGTTTCCTTAACTTCTTTCTGATCAATTGGATACCAAGGCTTTCTGCAACCTAAAGATTAAGAATGTTTTTTTCAGGCAGGAATGAAATTTTGGTTTATTCCAGTAACACTGAAAGTTGATTCCATCTACTCTAGCATTATATCTACTGTCAGCTGTCCACTTTAATATTTGTTGAAGTTGGTTCACTACTCTCATAGTTAATCATCCATATCCACCTTTTTTTCAACTATTTTCGTTCCAATATACTATTTAAAGATTTTTATTTTGGTTGCACGCATAGCATCACCCCCCAACCCACTTTCCTAAGAGAAGTATGGGTAAGGGCCTTTTTATTATTAAAATTTACGATAATCAAACCACTGGAAAAATTAAATTAAAGATCTGTACCTACCTTGCTCTTTGTTATTTTCCATCATACTCAAAAACAAGGAATCGTTAACTGGCCCTGCAGCACACAACACAGATAGTCAGTTAAAGTATATTCATTAGGATCTTTAGAAGAATGGCAAAGCAGCATACCATGGTACACAATAGGTTTGACACCAGGGTCTTTCAAAAATACTATAGCAGGTGCAGATTCCACACCAAATCTGACATTAAAGAAATTAAAACAAAATCAATCCAACAAATTATTAGATCAAACAGTGAATCGACAAGCTTATGAATATTTGTTTAAAATATTCACGGCACCGTCTATATGGGAAATGTAACGCAGAACAATGTCCTCAAGTTTAGGTTCAATGAAAATTGCAACTTACGCCCCCATCCAATAGGATGATTCCTCTTCCCGCCAGAGAATAAACGCAAATGAAGCATAAGCCCAATAGTCTTTAGCTACTTGTCGCATAAATGGAGAAGCACGCTCCCCGGTTTTTGAGAATAATATTACCTTTACCTATAAGCCATGGTTCAAAAATACTCAAACCCTGGATAACACTGATAAATTCAAATACAGATCTGCTGAATCAAAGAGCATGTAAAACTGTAAAAGCCCTTCACAAAATATTTTCTATAAGTACCCATACCCGCAATTTGAAAAAATCCCCGTACCCGAGCCCATACCCGCTTGGGCGTCAAAGTTAACACCCGTACCAGTGCCCTATGGGTATGTAAGTACCCATTACCCGCATTCCTATTATAAATAAATCAATCAATTATAAAATATCATATTATTTTAAGTTTTTAAAAACATTAAAAAAAATCAAAAAATTTATTGTTGAAATAAACACACTCTTATATTAAATACGTAATGGTTTAACATTAACAAACTTTTCAAAATTAAAAGACATACATTTTTATATAATAATATAAAATAAAATATATAAATATAAATTAAAACACATAAACATATATTGTGCGGGTATGGGGCGGAGTGGGTACTAAGGTGCACATACCCGCACCCATACCTGCTTATTTTTGTGAGTAATTACCCGAGTCCGTGTTCGTACCCATTTTTGTGGGTTTTTACCCTATCTATTAAGAGAAATTTTGCGGGTACCCATTGGAGATGGGTCAAATTGCCATCCGTAAGAGTAAATAAGGTTGATATACCTTGCAGGGGAATCATAAAGGCAACATTTATATTAAGAAAATTTGGGGAATGAAAGTACAGAAATAATAAAAAAGCAAAGTAATTGTACCTTATGATGACTAGTTTTTCCAAAAAAATTTGGCACCTGAAATTTTATAAGTAGAGTTTCAGAAACAGTTCAATTAGTGATCATAAAAATTTGAACAAGCGACCTGATACTATAATAGACATCAAACTATTAGAAATGGCCACATACTAATTAACTCAAATAGACATCAAACATCATATTTATATAAACTCGGTTCCTCCATACTGATTGTGTTTCTAATTCAAAAGATGGAAATAAAAAAGCTACATGAATCATTTGTTTTCTTCTAAAAAAATTTCCATATGTACATTATAAAGTATACGAAGGCGATCCAACATGGAGATTTTGTTCAACCCTTAGAATTGAGATTATATCATATGGTGTATGAAAAGACTTGAAAAGCCATCCAAGTTTTTTCTAAAATGTTTACAACAAGAAACCTGAATCTTCTTGACACCAATCAAATCACGCAATTGTCTGTTTGATTGATCATCTTATTGTGTTCAGAAAAGTTAATAATCATGAATTTGCAATGAACTTTTGGTCCAAAAGCTATTTTTTATAATAATTAAGTAATACAAAATTTGTTGCCAAGTCATGGCATACTTCAGCTCACAAAAACAAAAATTCGACTTTTTATAATTTAAGAGCTCAGAATTTTGGCAAAGTGTATAAAACAAAGCATTCCGCTTATTTTCTCTGCATTCAAAAAGTAAATAGCAAAACTGACCAAATTAAATTTAAAAAAAAAACAAAAAACAGGGGAACGAACCTAGGGAGGAAAAAAGAAAAAAGCATAACCAAGCTTGTTTATATCAAATATTATATAATACATTAGCTTCTACCCATGAACACTTCAAAATGCAAATGCTCACTTGTACAAGAAATTTCCTTATTAAAAATGAACGGTAGAGACAAAAAAGAGCATTGCCACACATTCTCACAAATATAACATGATATTTGAGAGTTTAGACAACTTACCAATGATTCCTTCATGTAGTAGTTAATTTGAGGAAAAGCCAATACAGTTGTTGCAAACCAATTTGTCACCTTGTCAATCGTAAGCTCGCCATCAAACCTAATACGTATAAATCATGTATAGTAATTCAGTAATGTAGTATATGACAAATGCAAGTACATAATATACTAATGGTAAATATCTAATATTTAAATGTGAATAACCCTCAGTGAGCAAGTTAAAAAAGATCTTCAAGCTGTAATTGTGTTGTCAAATCAAACCATTGTCTTTCTTATAATAAAACTTACCTTCTAAAACATTTTGCAGTACGACATCCAGGAGGAATGGCAAAAAGAGATGGAATTCCTGGATAATTATTTCCAATATGTCAAGACAAGTAACTTTGTATTTGTAAATCAAGTAAACAGCTCAGAAATTTCTAAAACATCAACATGTCAAATAATGTATATCCAGCAATAATGCTCAGATTAACATATCTTTCTTTGTCAAAGATGAACCCCTGTTGGAGGATCTGGGGCACATGTCCCTACCCACTAAAAAAACATTTCTATTACTTCTTATTTTGGTGTCAACCCTCCAATATGTCAAGACAAGTAACTTTGTATTTGTAAATCAAGTAAACAGCTCAGAAATTTCTAAAACATCAACATGTCAAATAATGTATATCCAGCAATAATGCTCAGACTAACATATCTTTCTTTGTCAAAGATGAACCCCTGTTGGAGGATCTGGGGCACATGTCCCTACCAACTAAAAAAACATTTCTATTACTTCTTATTTTGGTGTCAACCCTCCGGTTTTCAGGGGAAGGGGGCCCTGGTAATCCGGAGTTTGGCCGGGAGGAAACTAAAGTCTAGCCAAGAATTGTTTAACCATAGATTCAAACTTAGGCTATCCCGAATGATTTGTCCTCAAGTGGAGCTTATTAACCACTTCAGCCCAATCAAGTGGTTATTTCTATTACTAATGCATACTTGCAACACAAGCATATATAGAACCAAATATTGTCAGAATTAGCAGCACGTCTGCAACTAGTCTAATTTATGCAAAATATAAACAATCTTTACAATAAACTTATAACTGTAAGTTCTGCAAAAAAGTGATTCATATATTGGGTTTAAGCCCTTGCACTAGAATATTTCATTTACAAATATAATGGGATTGCGAAACAAAACAACAATTTAAAACTGGGCAAGGGATGTTTTTATAAGAGGCAGAAAACAAAATCTTTACTCAGCACATACCATTTCTGAAAAAGGGTTTTCCCGTTGATCTTTTATCCGCAAAGTAAATAGAGACCTCCTTCTCACCAAGTTCCACCATACCAGTATTTGCAAATGCATCCAACAAAGAAGCTAGAACCAGAGAAATTAATCAGAGTTATCTTATCCTTAAACTGGTGTGGTAACTGATATGACAAAGTGCTTGGATGTCATTTAGATTGAGTACTTGTTATAAACTACAGAATAGAACATTCCTAAACGCAATAGTTTAATTCTGCTCATAAAAAGAAAACTGTAATGCACAAGAAAAAACGTAATACCCATGGAGTTTGTGATCAAATTGCATACCTATTTTATTCCAAGACTTAGAGAACTCAGCACAACGATTGCTCCCGGACGAATACAACTGATACAAACAAGTATGATAACTTAGAAACCTTCTCATATTTACAAAAGTGAAGGAAAAAAAAACATAATTCATAGTTTCTGAATCCTTAGACGACATAATGGAAAACAGATCACTTACTAACAGAGTAACATTCTCAGATATTGACATTTCTTTTGTTGAAAAAATATTGACATATTTCACAAATAAATAAATGTACTCAGTGAAAAGGTGTCCCCAAGTAAAGGAGGTACTACTACCGGGATCAGAAAGTTCTTCGGTGGCCAACACGCCGATGAAGTAAGTACAGAGTGAAGAAAGGCAAGTACAGAAGTGAAAAGTGGAATTGAATAGCATACCTGACCCTCTATCAGAAGAGAGTATTTATAGAGCCCCCAGCGTTGGGTCAACGGTCTTCATTACGGGCTGGGTGATCCGGCCCATAATGGATGACTGTCAGGATTCCTACGTGGATGTAGGGATAGGCAGCTCGTGCCCACCATCATGGGTCAACTGCTTTGCGTTCTCCGGAAGGCGGGAGACGTGTCCGTTAAGAAGGGCAGAATGTTTCCGCAAGATACGTAGGATCAGTGTAGTCAAGATTGAGTGCTGGGTCTTAAGATCTTAAGATCTTACGTGCTGAAGTTTCCCTTTAGTACTACGATCTTAAAAAAAAACTTTTTCGTGCATTTTGTGGTCAAGATCGAGTGCTGGTTACGATCTTACGTGCTGAAATTGCCTTTTATATGACTATCATGATATGGGAATCCATAATATCTTAGATGATTAGACTTGTTTGTTAGATTTATGTTTTTAAACTATTTTTTTGAACGAAGTCTTTTGAACTTGTTAAATTATGGAATGATAGTTATGAGTTATTAATTTAATTGGTTAAATTTAGTAATTTATAGGTTATTTTGTTCATGTATTATAATTTTCATGTTTTTGTGTGTGTATATGTATGTCAAATTACCATTTCTCCCTTCAATAAGATCTTAAGTGTCGTATTACGATCCTAGTTTTACGATCTTTCACAGATCCTACTTAAGATGCCGTGCTTGACTACCTTGCGCGGGATCAGCTAGCCACATGTCCTCGGGTGAGGAGCGCGTGGGAACGTGCTCTCCAACGGCTAGAAGGGACTGGGCCTTTACGTTGAGCCTTCTTGGACGCGGAGCTGGACTGGACTGTGCCTGACCGTGGGCCAGGCCCAGTCCAGAACAGGAGCCCCCTATGTCGTTGCTCTAAAGCAATGGAGTAATGACTTAAAGTCAGTCCTTATGTCGAAGAGGGGTGAAGGAAATCCGCGCGAGGAGAGCGTTTGTTCCCATTCGTGGTTGCGAGCTATCGGAGCCACGCTCGTGAGAGAGCGTAAAATCTTATGTCGAGTCTCTGCTCGCAAGGGACGCTGGGCAATCGCTCGTGCTCAACGACACGATCTTGCTTCGAGTTTACCGTCGCAACCGTGTGCTCGTGAGGATGCCAAAGTGTTTGTTTATGCTCGACGACACGACTTTTGAACTTGTTAAATTATGGAATGATAGTTATGAGTTATTAATTTAATTGGTTAAATTTAGTAATTTATAGGTTATTTTGTTCATGTATTATAATTTTCATGTTTTTGTGTGTGTATATGTATGTCAAATTACCATTTCTCCCTTCAATAAGATCTTAAGTGTCGTATTACGATCCTAGTTTTACGATCTTTCACAGATCCTACTTAAGATGCCGTGCTTGACTACCTTGCGCGGGATCAGCTAGCCACATGTCCTCGGGTGAGGAGCGGGTGGGAACGTGCTCTCCAACGACTAGAAGGGACTGGGCCTTTACATTGAGCCTTCTTGGACGCGGAGCTGGACTGGACTGTGCCTGACCGTGGGCCAGGCCCAGTCCAGAACAGGAGCCCCCTATGTCGTTGCTCTAAAGCAATGGAGTAATGACTTAAAGTCAGTCCTTATGTCGAAGAGGGGTGAAGGAAATCCGCGCGAGGAGAGCGTTTGTTCCCATTCGTGGTTGCGAGCTATCGGAGCCACGCTCGTGAGAGAGCGTAAAATCTTATGTCGAGTCTCTGCTCGCAAGGGACGCTGGGCAATCGCTCGTGCTCAACGACACGATCTTGCTTCGAGTTTACCGTCGCAACCGTGTGCTCGTGAGGATGCCAAAGTGTTTGTTTATGCTCGACGACACGACTTTTGAACTTGTTAAATTATGGAATGATAGTTATGAGTTATTAATTTAATTGGTTAAATTTAGTAATTTATAGGTTATTTTGTTCATGTATTATAATTTTCATGTTTTTGTGTGTGTATATGTATGTCAAATTACCATTTCTCCCTTCAATAAGATCTTAAGTGTCGTATTACGATCCTAGTTTTACGATCTTTCACAGATCCTACTTAAGATGCCGTGCTTGACTACCTTGCGCGGGATCAGCTAGCCACATGTCCTCGGGTGAGGAGCGGGTGGGAACGTGCTCTCCAACGGCTAGAAGGGACTGGGCCTTTACGTTGAGCCTTCTTGGACGCGGAGCTGGACTGGATTGTGCCTGACCGTGGGCCAGGCCCAGTCCAGAGTGTTTGTTTATGCTCGACGACATGACTTGTTTCCAACCTTTCCCCGAGGATGTGCTCGTGAGAAAAAAGCTTTGCCCTTTATGCTCGACGCATTGGAATCTGAAGCGTTGAGGGGACTTGAAGGGACGGATGTGTCGTCCCCTCGTGCCACGTATCATAGGCATTAAATGCCACGATGGCCTATGAGTAGGGGTACTCGATGGCTAGGCGACGGTTCGTTTTTCCGTGCTAGAGGTTATAAGTAGGAGAAAGTGGGACTCATTTGGTACGCTCGTTGGATTCTCAAGCTCCTCAAGAATCTCTCCGCTCTCTCCAACATTCGCTCGCCGTCGTCGTCGCCAGTCCTTTTTCCGCCATCGTAAATTTCCAGAATCCTCTTCAACCAAGTGTTTGTTGCCTTTCTCAGTTTACATGGTAGCGGTTAGCTTTAGAATATAGCTTTAGGGTCCAGTTCCAATGAATGTTGGTGTTTATCGGTGGTTCCGCCATCCTCAATCGCCGACAGCCGTCGAACTTCGAGTAGGAAATAGGCTAACCACGCGTCTCTTGGCGACGCTCGCGAGCTTCACGATGAAGTTATGCATTATCCGGCAGGATTTATGAACTTTCCAGTGACATTCATGAATTTCCGATGAATCTCATAGAGTTCCGATGAATCTCATGGAGTTCCGATGAACTCAAGAAGTTTCCGAGGAACTCAAGAAGTTTCCGAGGAACTCAAGTTTCCGATGAAATTCTTGAGCCGAGTAAGATTTTCCTCGCGACGTTCATGAGTCTCCATTGAAGTTCTTGCGCCGAGTAAGATCCTCCTCGCAACGTTCACGAGTTTGTGGTGACTATCCCTGTATTTCGGACAACTCCTCGTGTCGGGGAGGCTCCTCCTCGCGGGGTCCCGTATTTGTAGAGAATTCTCTGATCGAGGAGGATTCCCATCAGGGTATCGTCGATTGGTCGACTAAGATCACCCCCGGGGAAGAAATCCCCGCAACCTCCTCGCTCGCCGTTGAGTATTGGTCGGGGGCAGCATACTCGTGCTTACCTTCGCCCTTCCACTTGATTTGCAATGGAATGATGGATTTGATTTGATAGTCGAATTCACTATTTTCCTCTGCATTTCAGGTTTCAATGGCTCGCAGCGCAGAAGGTCGCGAGCTAGTCGACACCATCACCGATAACGATCTGGCTTGGGTCGGGCTGGAGCCCTGGGGGATAGCCTTGCGTTTTGCAGAGTTTCTCGATACCGCGTTCACTGTTGTTGATGTGACTGGGTGTCGAGGGAGCCGAGGAGGAATGGTCGGTCCACAAACCTTCAGAGGAAGCGCGGATCTGCTCGGTTTTCGCGAAGAATCCTTTCGCTATGTACGAATTTGCGTTCAAGGAGTTGGGCCTCCGACTGCCATTCAGCGGCCTACAAATAGGTATTTTTGCCCGACCGGGGTTAGCACACTCACAGCTTCACCCACGTGATTGCCTTCATTCGGGCTTTCGAAATCACATGTGACTATCTCGAGATCGGGGTTGTCCTTCCGCTGTTCTTCCGTTGCTTTCACCTCCAACGACAATCTGCGAATGGACAACACAGCTAGGTGTCTCTAAAGCAACCAAAGAAGTTGTTCAACGCGTTATCGGACTCTGTTCGTACTTTTTAAGACAGGTATTATGTGATCAAACCCGTGTCCCCGGCGGCTATCCACTTCGTATTTGATCTCGTGCCGAAGTTCAAGAAGGACGGAAGCGCATGTCTCGACAAGGATGGGAACGCGGTGATGAAGTTTTCCCCGAAGTTCCCTCTTCATTGGACAGACCCCCACTTCAAGCATAGAACCAACCATTATATTACGAAATCCCATGAGCTGAATGTCGAAGACCTGCGTAGCTATGACAAACTCGTGAAGTTTGTGGACGGCTTTGTCCCTGCTCAATGGCAGATCAGAGACGGGAAGTTTGTCCTCGACGAGCGGAGTTACGCTAGGTTGGAAGCCCGGTACATCAATACCAGGGAGCTCCTCGAGTGTCGTACCTCCGAGGAGACCAGGCTGCTCTTAGGTAGCTATTTTTCTTTTAACTTGTGTTTATCGTTTCTCAGCGCACTGACCTGTATTTTTGTTTTTCCCAGATAACATGTCGAGCCTCCAGAAACGTGTGCTCAAAATGGCTGCCAAATGTTAGAAAAAGGGTTCCAAGGACAGGATTGCTGATCTCCAGAATCAGTCGAGAGTCGACTCTGGCCCCGACTCTACTTCCTCCGCGAGTGGCGACCAGCCTACTCCTCAGCAAGACCGAAGCACCCCGACCAAGAAGAGGCCTCAGGCGAGCGAGGTTGTAGATCTTACGGGAGACAGGGAAGACGACAACAAGTTCGTGCTGCCCCCTTGCTTCTCCGATAGGGGGTTCTTCGAAGGGAGCCTTCCTCTAGCCGTTTCCCGGGCAGACTCTTCAGTATTCATGGGCCTCGACGCAGTGACCAGAAGGAAAACGCTGGCTCAGGATGCGGCTGCCCTGATGAGGGTCTTGGAGGTTGCTCTAGTTCTTAATGACAAGGAGACCTGCCCCGTTTTCGAGCTAGAGAAGCAACGGACAACGTATAGGAAGCTCGAGGTGGCGGCACACAAGACGGAGACTGCCTTCGAGGACTACAGAGAGAAGTATAAGCTTCAGGCTGGGATCATCACTGAGAATGTCAAATTAACTGAGACTTTGGCTACCCTGAAGCTCGAGCATGCCGCCGAGAAGAATGTTCTCCAAGACCATATCGATGTTCTTGAAGCTGCTGCGCGGCCCCCGCCGAGGACGAGGACGAAGAGCTGAAAACCCCGGGGATCCGTGCTAAGCTGGTTGCCAAGATCAAGGTCCTCGAGCAAGATTGCTTGGATGCAGTCGGAATTGGTTTCGATAATGCAGTGTCTCAGCTCCAAGTTGTGAACCCCGGGGTCGAGCTCGTCAACGAGGGGAATGGCTACCTGAACCAGGTGGTCGACGGCCAAATAGTCTCTCCCCGCCTTGACGACGAAGGTGACACCGAGAAGGAGACCCAGCTAGAGGAGGGGGATGTTTAGATTCGTATTCTTTGTTGTTATTGGTTCGGCCTGCGTGCCATGAGTTGTAATATTTGAATAGTGGGCTTTGCCCGTTTGATGTACTTGAATATTTGATTCTTAATCCTAATATTTGATTCTAAATCCTATATTGGTTCGGCCTTTTCGACATGTGTGTATGCCTTTGTGTGATTTGCTCGCCGAGCCTATATTAATTTCCTCGGTTAATATTTATGTTTGCAAATTTTTATCACTGAGTATATGCGGGGTATTGCTCGACAGAATTTGTGCTCGACAGTGTGGGAAACTTGTTCGAGTGATCGAAGTTGGCTTCCAACTGATAGCGGAGTCAAGATCTCGGTCGAGGTCTTAACTCCGCGGCGTGAACCTCCCATCGCGAGTTGGGCTTTCTGCCTTACTGGTACAACGACAGCGGAGCTCGGTCGAGTTATCCCCGCCAGGCTAGGGATCTACTCGTCAAAGAGCGGAAACCTGCCTTTTGTCTAAGTTTGGGATGATGTGCTTGTATCGGAGCACGCCTCTGTGGTCAAGTCGTATCCTGTCGTCGTTGAGTAGGGTACGCCAACTGTCAGGCTTAGATGTAGTATTGCTTCAGTTTTTCTGCGTTCCATGGTCGAGCAAGTTCTTTCCCGTGCAAGTTTTCAAGCTAATAGGCCACGTGTTCTGTTTTTGCTCGGACGTGATAGGGGTCTTCCCAATTGGCGGCAAGCTTGCCCTCGCGAGGGTTTTTGTGATTCCTTCCCAAGACCAGACTGCCGACTTGGAATTCTCATTTTCTGACTTTAGCGTCATGTCTCAAGGTTATTTTTTGTTTCAGCGAGGCTTCCCGGAGGGCTGCCCCTGACCGAGTATCTTCGACCAGGTCGAGCTCCTCTCTCAACGACTCGTCGTTCATCTCCTCCTCGCGAGGGTCTTTGTGATTCCTTCCCAAGACTAGACTGCCGACTTGGAATTCTCATTTTCTGACTTTAGCGTCATGTCTCAAGGTTATTTTTTGTTTCAGCGAGGCTTCCCGGAGGGCTGCCCATGACCGAGTATCTTCGACCAGGTCGAGCTCCTCTCTCAACGACTCGTCGTTCATCTCCTCCTCGAGAGGAGATTCGGTTCTTCTGGAAGGTTCTCGGATCTCCACGGAAATGACTGCCTCGCTTCCGTAGGTTAATCAGATAGGTTTGGATATCCATATTTTCCATCTTTAGTGTGTCGAGTTTGAGGATCGTCACTGTATAGACAATGAACGTCGTTGGAGAAGACTTTCTTGGCCTTTTCCCAAACTTCATAGCAAGTGGAGAAGGCTTGATACTGCGCTTGGAGGTTAGGTGCTATGGAGAACCATAACACGGTAAGGAGAGAGGCATCTATTTTCTTCCATTTAGCGAGTTTGCCGGAGGCAACATTAGTCAATTGTGTGGTTAGGTGATCTTCATATCCCTGACCGCGAAACCACATATCGACAGCACGAGCCCATATGTTATAGTTTGTTGATCCGGTTAGTTTTTCACATGGGATAAGAGGAACTTTAGTAAACGAGACAGAATCAGTGTCTCCCATAGCTTAATGACACAAAAAATAAAGTGAAATCGGGGCTGTTTGCACTGGAGCACCGTTTTTCGTGAGTCGGAAAGTAAAACAGAGGCCGGATCTGGAATGGGTGAGGAGAGGCGAGTAGATCGGCAGAAAAACGGTCGGAATTAGCCGCCGGACGCGCTGGGGCAGCAGCGGGAAAAAGGGCGACGACCGGATCGGAGGATAGCGACAAAACCGGTTTTTCGAAACGTCGTCGGAAGTTTTGCCGTAACTATAACGGCGGCAAGACGTTACGGGAGAATTTTGAAAAGTGAGAGGCAAACCGGAGTGATAACACAATTTGCCAAAAAAAAAAAAATCTCACCAGAAGACAGTAGGTCAACCAGGTAAAATACGGCGAAGAAAGAATTGCCTCTTAGTAGGCTCTAGATACCATGTTGAAATACAAGAGACTAAGAGACATAAATAAACCGTGTGTTTTGAAAAGCACTACGGAGACATTATTATATATAAATAGATTACAACTAATTACATGATATAGTCGATGTGGGATTATTCTATATACAAATATTCTTAACACTATATATATTTACAAATATCAAACATACAATATATCAGCATATTCTACACAGTGCGTACCTGAATTAACCATAGCTTTGAATCTGGAAATATAGACTGGAAATCACTTGCAGAAATGACTAAAGTAGTATGATCAATAGACTCTGAGGTGAAAAATGATGTATGCATCAAAATATTTCCATGTCATAAATCCTTCAAAAATATTCAACAAACAATTCCTCTCATTTATGATGAATGGCTTGACTAACCAGAGGAAGGGGCGTTTAGTAAAGGGAAGTCCAATTGTGAAATACTTCTCCCTGCATAATGCTCGTTGGCATCCTCAATGATATGCTAACATAAAAGTCATATCATTTAGTTGAAAATCAATGGAGACGAAAATATATCAGGGACAAGAGACATATGCTTGGAAAATATTGTATAAAACAGACATGAATTTTAAAATATGCAAATAAAATTACTCACAAGTTGTTCATCAATGCCAAATAAGTCATAGTCTCTTTTCCATAAAGGATTAGTCAGCAACTCGTAGGCATATCGGATCTGAAAGCTTTCAGAAGAAATTAAGTACAGAAAAGCATAGTAAATCTACAATACTTGTGCATATTCATATCGTAGGAAAAAAACAACACCAAATTACAAATGAAATACTACTACAGCTGCCGGAGCTATTCCACCCCTTTAAGTTTTGGATTATAATTTCCAAAACAATTTCATCATTTCATTTTCAACATGCACAAACCAGTTTCAACATTTCATTTTCAACTTGCACAACACCTGGAGCGGACTTGATAGTTTTATATTTTTAACAACAAATTCAAGTTACAATAAGATATCCAATTGCCGCACTACATTCGCCTGAATCTTATTTGCATTCATACACATTCACGCCATTATTATTCAGCAAAGACCGAATATAGCATGCAGATAAAATTAAACCCCTGCCTATTAGAGCATACTACCAAATAGACGTACTGTAGCATGATACTTCTATTACAAATAGTCAAGTTGTTAGGACTGCCATAACTAACTATACCTGATTGTAAAACACATTTATCCATTCACATGCAAATACATACACACATATTTTGATGTTGTACTTCTTCAGTGTAGTCAATCACAATTAAAATCAGTTTGAGGTCACTCCTTTTTCCTCACTAGCATATACTTCAATACTTCAAATCATTTTATCTTGCTGAAACTAATGGGTTTTGTTAACAGACTGATTCACACTAAGCTAGCTTCACTAGCAAAGACCATATTTCAACTTTAAATTTGAACTTCTACTACATAAGCAAAGCAGTTATGTTCTCATTTCACTTCTCGTATATTATTTACCCTAACTTTTGTCTCTGACTAATGCTGGCTCAATGCCTAAGAACCATAATGACGGCATTGATATATATACTTGTAAAGCTATATTTCTTTCTACAATGCCCGATGAATTCAGCAGAGTCTAGTCTTTTTAAGAAATAAAGTATAAGTTAATCCTCAAGAATCAAACTGGTCGTAAGAAAATAAGTTAAATCAAAGGCAACACAAAAAACTTAACTAGGATCTGACAGAGACAAAAATGATTAGAAGAATCCTGATGATAGTGCTTGCACCATATTTAATAATCCCACTATACACACCTATTATGTATCGAAGACTTTTTTCTTTGAAGAGGTTCATTATACAATAGTTCAAACGATAGAATACATAGCTCATAAATGACACTAACCTTTAAAAACTCGTGAACATCAGATACTTCCTCGTCAGAATTCCTGAAATACCGTGAAACTAGTCTCGTAAGATTACTAACAAGAATGCCGATAAAAGTGTCACAATAGCCACAACTTATTTTCATATTTAAAACAAACTATTACAGGACATATTCAACAAACTATATGACAAACTACATGTTATAGGAACCCTCACAAAAAGCAAATCCTAAGACTTAGAACAAATGTAATCCCACCCATCTATGATAACTTAGAAAAATGTAAAATATAAATAAGAAAGCTATGGTACCCATGCTGAGTTAGCACTAAGGAGTACCCATTACATACCCACTAATCCACAAAAGCATAAACCTAATCAGAAACAAAAACGTCTAACTACAATCAACCCCCTTTCCCTACACCATATAATATATTGCTAAAGACTAATTGTACGGTTGGTTTACCTATGAAGCATGGACACGGACACTTACAATTGACACAACAACGACAATGACACATTCACACCAATAATAATTTTAAAAAATGAATAAATTGAATGTAATCATAAGTATCGGCGCCGTTTTGGTGGCCCACTGGAATGGACACAGACACACCATTTTCCAAAGGTGTCAGTGCTACAGAGTGGTTTACCGTTGAAAAACTGCAAATGTAGGTTTGAACTTTGAGATCTCACGTTGACTAGGTCTTGGTGATCATAACATAACTACTAGAAGGGTAGTACAAGAAACGCCTTTAAAACCAATAAAACCATTGAGTGACCAAATTCAAATAGACATATTCAAAATTCAAATACCATTTAGATTCAAGATTGTTGTAAGCCTCCTTAACCGTGTCGATCGAACTATACCTATCAATTTGCAGAACTGAAATCACAAAATACAGAAATTCAAACAAAAAAAACAATTAACAAAAAAGTAAATACAAAGGAGAATAAAAAGGGAGTAACCGTCGTAATGAGAAGGAGGGAAGGCATTGGGGATAACAAAGAGCTGGTAGAACATGGCTGCGGCGAAGAGAATAACAGGAAGTGCATAGGCTTTGATGGTGGAAGCCATTGACAGTGAGGGAGGAGGAGGAGGAGGAGTCTGAACCCTAGGCATGGTAACGGAAGCAACGGTGGGATTCAGACGTAAGAGATCGTGTGAAATACGTAAACTCGGTGCTCCTAATGGAGCAAACGGTGTTGGTAATAAGTAGCAGTTACAGTCCTCTTTTGAATTTCTAATTCACTTTAGTTAAAAAATGTTTCAAAAATCATTTTTTTATATATCTACTATAAATCTATAAAAACTAAAGTACGTGTGTTTTTCAAATTAAACCTTCTTATTACATGCTTAATTTTTTATTAATCAAGGGTTATTAGTGTCTAATTACATGTTTGCTAATATTATGTATTTGACATTTATTACAGGTGATGTGTCATTTTGTTATGATCTTTGATTTTATTTTTTTTCACCTTAAAATACTTTATCAATAAAAAAAATTAAAAAAAGACAAAATCTTAGGGTCGGTTTGATTCAAATGAGGGTCTGTTTGGTTCAAATAAAGGGGAGGGGAAGAGAGGGATTTTAATGAAGAGGAGGGGAGAGGAGGTGAAGGAATTTTTTAATCAAATAACTGTTTGGTTCAAAAGAGAGGAGGAGAGTGTTTTAATTAAAAATGTGTTTGGTTCAGAAGGGGATGGGGGTTTTATTAATAATTTACATTTTTATCCTTATGATTTTATATAAGTCATATGATATTAAAATGTGAAAAATTCGTGCGTATTTTTGTTGGTAATAAAATTTCTAATATTGAGTGATTAAAAAAATACTTATTCGTCACATAAAGTTAAAAAATTGAGTACAATCGATTCGACTTATAACTTTCCAACATAAATTAAACTATATGCAAATATCATCGTTTAAATTGTAATGAATCATATAACAAAACAAATATATAAAATAACTTATTACTAAATATTAATGGTTCAAAATATTTAATAAAATAAATAAATAAAAATAAATAAAATAATATGATTTACAATTTGATATAAAAGAAAATATGATAGAGTACATAACAAAATTAAAAGAAAAAAACAAATATAACGAAACATAACTTTTTTAATAAAAAAAGACAATGATTATGATTTATATTAATTATAAAAATTATAAAATAATTTGAAGGTGGAGAACAATTATAATAAGTTGATGAAAAAAATCGAGAAAAAACAGTAACACAAAATATAACAAATAATTTTAAAATAATAAAATTAAACTGAAGATATTTTAGTAAATATAATAATTTTTAAATATCAAAACTCATATTCCCTCCACTCCCCTCCAAATCTCTCCAATTCAGAAGAAACAAAAAAATGTGTTTTGGAGGAATTTTGCTCCTCTCTCCTCCCCTCCTAAAATTTGAACCAAACATATTTAAAAACCTTTCTCACCCACCATCAGAAACGTGCTCTTCTCTTTTCTAAAAAAACGCAAAAGACACTCATGAAAATTGAAATAAAAAATAGAAGATCCATGGAAAAACAATCAAGCATGGCAGTAAACACAACGTTCAACAATATCCTTTTTATTTTTCATCAACAACAATGATATCCCTTTCAAATGAAAACACAAAGATGAGGGTTGTACCGCACGATTGATTTCCAGCGAGCTTTGAGTTTGATTTCACGGTGGTGGTCGAAGGTTTTGTGCGATGATGATACGGTTAAGGTGTGTAGTTGTTGTTTGTGAACAGTGGAAAAGCACAATAGTACGCAAGTCTCGTCGCTGGAATTGGCTGGAAAAGGAAACGGCCCCGACGGTGAGAGTTTCAGACACTTCTCTAAGTCGTTTTTGTGCCTCTATTTTCTTCCACTTTCTGATCTATCTTTTCCTCTTTGCTTTGGATTGTTGTATTATAATTATTGATGAGTTATTGATATATGAATGATGGTGTTAGTATTTTTAATGGTGAATAGTTGTTATTGTAATTGATGAATTTAGTTAGTTATGAAGGAAAAAGAAGGTGGAATGTTTGTTTCATATAAAAAAAATTTAAGTGTCTATATATTAATTTTGATGAAATGAATATATACTGTTGGACTGCTTTTAGGAGGTTCATAATTACAGTTGTGACAAGTTGGATCGCAAGGGTAAGGACAATTGATCTCATGGAAATGCTTTGTATCACAAAACCAATCTGCTACAATCTTTGCAATGGTCTGTAAAAAAATTCGCAACCTAGATAATATAGTTATTCTACTATGAATATGAACAAATAAGCTTGAATTATTTGTTGATGCAATAAAGGTGTTGTATCAGTTAAAGGAAGTTATGATTCTAATAACTTCATATTAATCTCAATATCGCTGTCATTATACAGTTTCCATATTCTAGTATCATGACTTTATTTTCTATGATTCTGTCACAGCATGTGTATAGTTGTCATGACCAATTCCTTCCATATATGTTCATTATTGTAATTAGTCCTAGCATAATTCTAGGATCTCATATGTACTACAACCGTGTATATTAACACAGTATGTCAAATGAATAAACAAGCCATTTTTATACCTTTCTCTCTTGGTATCAGAGCACTTAAAGCTTGAAAGCTCTCGATCCAATCATGTCATCCGCTGCTAACACAAATCACTATGTTGAGAATAACAAGCAAGAAAATCATAGTGTTTTCATAGCCTCACCTTACCACGGTCAGGACTATGAATGGTATTTCGACAGTGGAGCTAGCAATCATGTGACTCATCAAAACGAGAAACTCCAAGATCTCAGTGAAAGCAATGGTAAGAATTCTCTGCTAGTTGGCAATGGTAACAGGTTGAGAATATTGGGCTCAGGCTCGACTGAATTAAATAAACTCAACCTGCATAATGTCTTGTATGTCCCTGAAATAACCAAAAACCTGTTAAGTATATCTAAACTAACTGCAGACAATAATGCTATTGTCGAATTTGATGCAAACTATTGCTATGTGAAGGACAAAATGACAGGGAATGCATTACTAAAAGGGAAAGTTAAAGATGGATTATATCAACTCTCAAGTGCCAACTCCCAAGTCAATAAAGACTCAGTACCTACATGTCAGTCAAGGAGAATTGGCATAGAAAGCTTGGACATCCCAACAATAAAGTCCTGGAAAAGGTGTTGAAGAACTGCAATGTGAAGACATCATCAAATGATTACTTTTCATTCTGTGAAGCTTGTCAATTTGGAAAACTTCACTTGTTACCATTTACATCATCCTTTTCTCATGCTAAGGAACCTTTAGATTTAATTCATAGTGATGTATGGGGTCCAGCCCCAATTTTATCTCCATCTAATTTCAAGTACTATGTTCACTTTATTGATGATTTCAGCAGATTCACTTGGATTTTTACCTTAAAACAAAAATCAGAAACAGTACATGCTTTCACTCAATTCAAAAACATGGTTGAAAATCAGTTTAGCAGGAAAATAAAAATCCTCCAATGTGATGGTGGAGGTGAGTATAAACCAGTTCAGAAAATAGCCATAGAGTCAGGAATCCAATTTAGAATGTCATGTCCATATACCTCTCAGCAGAATGGTAGAGCAAAAAGAAAACATCGACATGTGGTTGAACTAGGACTCACACTACTAGCACAGGCCAAAATGCCCTTACACTACTGGTGGGAAGCCTTCTCGACCTCAGTTTTTCTTATCAACAGATTGCCCTCATCAGTTAACCCAAATAAAAGTCCATATTCATTATTGTTTGGAAAGGAACCTGACTATGATGCCTTGAAGCCTTTCGGTTGTGCATGCTACCCTTGCCTCAAACCATACAATCAACACAAACTTCAATTCCACACCACTAGGTGTGTGTTCTTGGGATATAGCAACTCTCACAAGGGATATAAGTGTCTCAATTCTCATGGAAGAATTTTTGTCTCAAGACATGTTGTCTTCAATGAGAATCACTTTCCACTTTATGATGGCTTTCTTGACACAAGGAATCCATTAAAAACTCTAACTGAAAGTGTCCCTATTGCTCTTCCTCCTTTACCTACAGGTACTGCTACAAGTCACACAATTGAACCAAGTAACAATGATGTGAACCACCAGGAAGAAGACCTAGCTGTTAATGAAGTTCAACCAGTCCTCGGTGAGATCTTTGTCACTGCAGATGAGGCAACGTCTCATACATATGAAACACCAGCAACAACAGGCTCAATACAGGACACAGACCCAGTAGAGGATACATTAGAGGATAATCAACATGTCCAGCAGATACGTACTAGGAGCAAGGCAGGGATTTACAAGCCCAAACTACCTTATATAGGACTGACAGAGACACACAAAGAGGATAAGGAACCAGAAAATGTAAATGAAGCACAAGTCAGACCAAGGTGGAAAGAAGCCATGGATGCAGAATTTAAAGCTCTAACAACAAATCACACTTGGACACTGGTACCATTTCAGGGGCAGAATAATATCATAGACTCAAAGTGGGTTTTTAAAACCAAGTACAAGGCAGATGGCTCAATTGAAAGAAGAAAAACAAGACTGGTTGCCAAAGGTTTTCAACAAACTGCAGGTCTGGACTATGATGAGACTTTCAGTCCAGTGATCAAATCCAACACTGTAAGAATTGTTTTATCCATTGCAGTACATTTAAATTGGGAAGTTAGGCAATTGGACATAAACAATGCATTCTTGAATGGCAATCTCAAAGAAACTGTGTTTATGCATCAACCAGAAGGATATATAGACTCAACCAAACCTTATCACATATGCAAACTAACCAAAGCAATCTATGGCCTGAAGCAAGCCCCAAGGGCATGGTTTGACAGGTTGAAGGATACTCTACTAAAATGGGGATTTCAAAACACCGAGTGATTTATCACTGTTTGTTCTTAGAGGAACTGGCCATATCACACTTCTCCTCATATATGTTGATGACATAATAGTAACAGGGAGCAACAAAAGGTTCCTAGAGACCTTCATCACTCAACTAAACATTGTTTTCTCTCTTAAAGACCTAGGTCCTCTACACTACTTCTTGGGAATTGAAGTACACAGAGATACTGGTGGAATGCACCTGAAACAAACAAAATACATTAGAGACTTGCTCAAAAGGTTTAATA